CCCCCCTTTGTCTTAATGGTTAATATAATTGGATTTGAGTTGGGTAAGCTGATCCCAGATCACCACCGAGGCGTGCTTTAACTCTGGAGCCATCTTTATCCTGCTACTGTTGTCTGTCTTGGCACCACATGCCAGCATAAGCGAGCCACACACAGTTACATACGAGCAATGCACATATACTCTGCCAGAAACAAAACCCTGCAGGAATCCAGCAGACTTTTGTTTGTACATCACAGTGCCGACAGAGGAGTGTCTGCCTGAGCCAACATCTTACGCACACACACCCTTGTCCACAATGGCGCCTAGCCCCATGCCGGAATAATCCAAACACACACACACACACACAAACAAATGATGGCTTGAGCGATGCACGCACACACACACACACACACACACACATATACCACAATGTTTGGCATGTTGCCAGTGTAAGCCAGTCCAGTGCCAAACCATCTTTTGAACTCTGTGATCTCAGCCTGCTGTTCTTCTTCTAACTTAGTTAGAGATTACAGTGTCTTTACCTTCCTCGAATTACAAATGCAATCTGGAAAAGCATGGCTGCGGTGGTCAAGTTGAGATAAGAGTCCTCTCAGTAATATTTACTCCAGTGTAGATGCCTTTTGTCCTTCTGTTTGCATTGGAAGGTGACCTTGTGCAAAGGGGGAAAACTAAGAAATTGGAAAACAATCCTGTGTTTTTCCACACGGACTTCCTGAAAAGTTGACCCTTTGGATAGTTGCGGTTTCCCCGCTGCTGCACTGCAATTGCACTCTTTCTAAATCATAGGTTGGACTCTCCGTGAATGACTTAATGATGGCATTGGGAGTATAATTTCATATTAAAAGCATTGTTTATATTGTCTTGTTTGTAAACTTTGAAGATTGCAGGCTTAAGAAGCAGACTGATGTGAATATAATAATACAGGAAAAAGCAAAAAATGTACAGTGATGTAAGAACATTTTTACCAAGAAAACCACTTTTGTACTAGACCGTTAAACGTCTGTGCATTTTCTTACCAGCTGGCATCGAAACAAGACTGCAGCGCCCATTGGCTAAATGTCATGAAATGGTTAAAACAAATTGAACTTTTGATGGTGCAGCAGGAAAACCTCATCCACTAATGGATTTACACCAATAAAACGTGCTCGCGCCGCAACAACAAGACAAGCCAATTCGGCGGATTTAAAAAGGTCTTCTGTACATGAAAGCTGCCCATGTCTGGCTTTTAATGAATCTGAAGGCGTTGTCAGAATACGTTTTTCTAAAACCATTTAATGTGGTTTTAAAGAGTACACCTAGCAATGCTGTGCCCTACAGGAGGAGGGGGACGGGGCAGGGGAGGAGGTCTTCAACAATAGAAGCATTATCTATCCTGTCATGGCATTAACAACCACACAAAGACCCCCAGGAAGAGATCAGAGCAGATCCCAGCAGATCAGACACACACAGCAGCTTTCACACACTCTGGTCTCTGCTGTCAGGCCATACGACGCCCAGCCTCTGCGTGAGCTGAGCCTGGGATCATTTTTACATCAGTCAAACCAGAAAAGCAGACTTTACTCATTCTTCTCTAAGGTGGGACCTCTTATTATAGCTCTTGTGCAGTGAAGTCACAAATAATAATCTGCCAGGCTTAAACAAGGACAAGACTTTTTGTTTATGACTTCAATAAAACATCAAAACAACATATCGAAACCCATTTACTGGCCTTAGTAGAGATCGCTTTATTTATACAAAATAAAAGCTACAAGGTACTGACCCAAGAACAGCCTGGACCAACTGCCTTAGCTTAGATGAGACAGGGGTTTGTTTGACTCCTGCTTTTTTTTCTTTTCTTTTTTTTTTAAAAACATCTAATAAAATTCGAAGACTTTAAGCAGCTGGTCAGTAGCAAGAAAACAACAGTCACATTTTCTAAATTAGCACCTTGTCTTCTGCAAAGTTCAGCAGGTAGGTTAACACAGTGTGTACCCATAAAAATGGTGTCATGAGAGGAGCAGCGGAGTAAGCTGAAGGCAGAGCCTGCGCCTGATAAGAGGATCCATAAAACTATTTGTGAGAGTGTTAAGATGTCAATGTACTGCAATGCTATCTTACTTCTACTTTGTACCCAATGTACTTTGACACTAATGAGGTACAACACACAAGGTGGGTGAGTGAGAGAAGCATGACAGTCTGGAGGAAACTCCTGACAGCCGGGATTATGGTTATCAATAATGAGGCCAAAGTTCAGACTGTGCTCATGACACTTATTTGTGGCTTGCGTGTACAAGAGTTAACCTTTTAAAGAGACGCTGTACAATGATGTCACTGACGATTTGTCGATTTACGTGGGAGGACTAGTAACTTCACCTCACAACATAATATCGTAGAAAAATAAGATGGCTCTTCTTTTAATTTTTTATGATTGAGCACATCAGAAGTCAGCCAACTGAACCTTTTAAAGATTATAAGACTGGACAGATTTACCACATGTTGCTTGCTAATCACTTCACCATGTGCCAATTATGCTTTCTGCAATGGTACACTAGTTATATATTTAATTATTCTTTTACAGCCACCGAATGATTCAAGTTAAAGCAAGCTGCTGGTGTTAATTGAAAAAATAAAGCCCCTTTACACCCTGTGGTGCAAACAAAAGCAATCATCTCAAACTCCCACCAGGGTAAGTTGAAATAAAATACAAAATGTATTGCTGCAGGTCTCCCCTGCACAAATACATTTGGTGTGAAGAACATTCTAGTGCTCCTCCATGTCAGATTTTAATTTTCAAACAGCCCCATAAATGCAGCATGCCAATGGACCAAGATGCCTTCATGTGTTCTGTGCAGGAAAAATTTTTTTTATGTGTTTATGGGGACATGACAAGGACTTAGGACACATCAGTAGTGAAAGTCAAGACACATGCAGTGATTTTAAAGGGAGGATAGATCTGTTTTTTGGTTATGCAATAGATTTTCAAATCCCTTTAGGTAAAAATTGTCTGACACATTGACTTTGGGGGTTTTGCAATTACAGAAAAAGCCTCCTTGATGAAATTCTTTATATCTTTGTCCAGATGTTGTTTTGTTCTGCTTGGCTGTCCAAGCATCAGAAGCTCCAACCTATAATGCTTCAGGATTGCATTCTGAGTGCAGGAAAGCAAAGTCACATGTCATCAAAGTACCAACCAAATTGCCAAACCAAAGTAGGAGGAAACAGCCCTAGTGTCCAAACAAATGTGGCGCAAGGAAGTGTGCAGGTCAGGGGAGGCCCACAGCAAAACACCAGAGGCTGGGACCCGGTGCCTGGTTTAAAAATCTGATAGATAGGCAAACAGAGCCGGACACAAATACCAGACTCAGATCGACAGGAGAGATACGCACAACAGGGCTCAACCACTTATGAGCCTGTTGTCTTCTTTTATTTCCATACACAATGGATTCAGTGATGCACTTTCATACAAATACACACACCTGTCTCCCGTATCATCTGGTAGGCTAGTACAGTATTAACCTACAGCCAGAAAGGATAAACACTACTACAAAGCTATATTAAACCTAAGCTTGTTTGGGGATGGAGGGGTTGACTACCAACCTCTGTACAACACACAGATGTCAGCATTTAATTTTAACTTAGAGTAAGTTGACTTTGAGGAAGTTCCAAAGACTCAAATGTTGCTGGCACCCTTCAGACCGCCTCGGTTAATAATTAAATTAGTTTAACTATTTAATGTGAGATTTATTTAAGCAGCTTCACAAGCTCACAGAGTACTGACATTCTTTTAAGTGACTGTGGGTTTGTGTAGAAGTGTGTGGAGGCTTTTTCCTTGGCCAGCAGCACACACATTTTTTCTGCCATTCTTTCTTCTTTTCCCTACAGACACACTCACACAATCTGTTACACACACACACACACACACACACACACACACACACACACACACAAACCAGCCCAGCATGCCTGGTTAGCATGATGGGGTTCAGACTGAGTCATAACACACTAAAAGTAAAAGCTGACTGTGAAAAAGTCATGCTGTGCAAGCATGGTCCCATCGCAGGTGCTGGTGAGTAATACTCGTTTGAGTCTGACAACCAGCCTAATTATAAACTCCTATGGGTGGCACAATAACAACAACAACAACAGGTCGGGAGTGAAACTGGGCGTTTAGAGAGAAAATAGTTCATCAGATATAGATCACTTTCAAATATTAGGTGAAGTAAATACGTTTTTTAAATAATAATAAAAAAAACAAGAAAACTTAAACAAACTTTGCCCAAAAAAAAGGCATTTCTATAACTCGATTATGCCTATGCGAAAGTTATCTGTTTATATTTCAATAGCAAAAATTGTTTTATTATCACAAAATGAATAAAGAGTAGTATATCGTTTCTCGAAAAATCCACATAAGCAACACTCCAAACAACTTACCTCTGAAATGGTGCTACTCAGCGTCCAAATACTGTGTCTCTGCCAGTAACCTTTGAGAAAATTAAAAGGAAAACAGGTTTTCCACGCTACTTCGAGTCTTTCTCACGTCGAGGAGACGCTAAAAGTGTAACAAACAGGTAAATCTTTTAGCTGCTGTGAGTCAATGCAGTGCTCTTCTCCACTGTCTGTCTCCGCTCTTGCTTCTTTGAGTATTTGAACAAGCAAAAGCTCGCAATAACCCACAAAGCCAGACGTATTCAAATGAGTTCCACAGAGCCGGGAAAACTGACCAATCAACGCAAGGGGGCGGGTGGCGACTAGGCCCAATCACAGAAAAGGGGTCGAAAAATCAAAAATCTCCCAAGTTCTGATTGGCTGACTCCCTCTCCATCTAAGTTCTGTCTTTTCGAGTAAAGCCTGGCAGCGAGTGTTTTTGTTGGAGAGCTGAAATATGGAAGGTATACGGTTTCCGTCGGGAATGTGTTAGTGTGTGTGGCTTTATGCTGGTCTTAGTGACTTAAAATATAAGAGAAAAAAATCCCTGAATAGTGTTTTATTTGTGTTTCTGTAGGGCTTATATATTTCATGAATTGGACAGTATGTGTTACTCAGAGCACTTGGTTTCACTTTTTCCTACCTGCCAAATGTTGCCATTTATTTCAGCACTGTAAGGAAATCTGTGTGGAGTGGTCAGATTGTTTGCTGACATTGGCTCCTGTATTACCAATTCTCTATAGTTTGATACTTTCGATTCTTCATCTGGCATCTTGGAAGCCAAACCAGGGATTTTCCTGCATGGAGGAAAATCTTGGCTCCTCCCTACAGCAAAGGAGAAAAAAATCACTGGCATTGTAACAATATTCTGTTTATTTCATTTTTGTGAACCCTAATCAACATTTTTGTTTATTTAATAGCTGGTTACAATAGGATAATGTATAAATATTTGTCAAATAAGCTGACATGGACTACTTGTGCATATGATCTGTAACAAGCAGCATTATGTAATCTTTTGCAAAAAAAAAAGAGAAGAATACTGCAAAAGTGTGCGGCAATGTGGCTGAGAGGGGGACTTATTAACAATTAATAACAATGTTGATCTCTCGAAAACATTTGTTACTGATCACTGTCTTTCTGTTTGAGATGAAATATGTTCTTTAAAATTGGATTAGCTCCTATTTTAAACCTTCTCCTGGGATATATGAGACTATTCTCTGTTTAAAGTGTTCATGTCCTTCATTTAAAGGATATTTTAGTTTCTGTCAGCACTTCACTAAGAGATAAAAGAATTGCCAAACTTGGTTTCAAAGAGCAGAGGAAACCCAAATGTGTTATTTGACTCTATCAGTGATATTGTCGCTCCTGGTCTACCTGCTTTTCCCATTTTCTTCAAAGGAATGTTGCAAACTTTCTTACTTAGCTGATCTGGTCAAATTATTTGGCTTGATAAAAGCATCTTCCTACTGTTGCGACATTTTACCTGAATTCCTGTTCATAGGTTCCTGTGTGCTGTAATCTACGTATCACTGGTGTCTAGTCAACTCCCTGCTTATTTTAAGACTATGGTTATCCACCCAGTTTAAAAACAAACAAACAAGCTTTACCCTTCACGTCTTAGCAGTTGCAGACAAATTTCAAAATGAGTCTTTTTTCCCCCTAAGATTTTAAAAAATGTTGTGGTTAAGCAGCTTTCATTTGCTCTATACAAATACATTCCACTGCTCGTTCCACTGAAACACCTTTTCTTAGACATCTTGATGTGAAATGATGCGGAAAAATGTTCTGTTTTAACGATGCTGGACCTGATCTCTGCCTTTGATACTTTTTACCTTGGAGTGGGTCTCTTCATATCGGTCTGAACAATCCTTTTCTGTGGCTGCTTTTAGGTGCAAGTCCTCTTCCACTTCTTTTGCTTATGGTGTGCCACAAGGATCTGTTTTGGGGACCTCGTTTTTTATGTTATATCTGCTCCCTCTTCAGCCCATTCTGAGTCCTTTTAAAGACATTTATATTCAAGAAGTTTTCTCCAACTCCATGAAGAGAAAACAGAAGTCTTTACTTGTGTACCTGACAGATTCATTCCACCTTTGCCAAATCTTCTATCAGGAACCTTTGAGTAGCTTTTGTTTTCACCTTTCACTCTGGATGTTCAAGTTTAAAATTTCATTTCTGGTTCACTCTTGCTTTTATCATTTAAGAAATACTGGCAAGTTGATTTCCAGTGCGTCATGCTCTGAAATGGAAATTGTTATTCATGCCTTTATTTCATCACACCTCAGTTATTGTGGTTTATTGTTTGCTTGTCTTGAAAAAGCTTCCTTGGAACGTCTGCAGGTTTTTCAAAACACTACTGCGAGGCTTCTAACTCAGTTTTCTAAGAACTCACATGTCACAGAATTGCTAATTCAGGTTCACTTTGTTCCCATTTACTTGAGAGTCCATTTTAAGTTTCTGGTTTTTAGCTATTAGAGCTTCGCATGGACAAGCACCAGCATACATCAGTGAAGCTTTACATTTATACATCCTTAGCAGGTCCCTGAGGTCATGGTGATCATGGCCTGCTGGCTGTGCAAGATACAAGGGCAGAGTACATGTCAAAGTTTACAATTACTCAGTGATCACTTTTAAAAATCAGCTAAAAACTCATCTTTGTAAACTCGCTTTTGGGTAACTTTTGTTCTTATGTGCTAGCATTTTTGTTTTGAAGCACTTTGTAATATTTATCTTCAAACATTCTATATAAATGAAAATTACATTACTTGCTTTACTTTAATTAGTTGTTTATGGCTTCAAACTTTTAATCATTATCATGCATGTAAAGGTGTTATAATGAAAACACTTTTACTTTATTACTCCTGTAAATATATCTGTCGACACAAAAGCCAAACCTGCAGTTTTGTAAAGCCCTTAAACTGCAGCTGAATTGACTAAATTTAAACTAAACACAGTTGTTGACACTCAGTGGTAGTATTTACTCAATCTTATACAATACGATTTTGAAAGAATTTCACAACCCACAAAAGATTGGAGACATTATTCAACCCATGGCACAAAGTTATCCTTAAATTGAAGAGAAAACAAGAAAAATAACATTGTGATGTAACAACAGGAATACCACATGCAACACGGTCAAAGAAAACAAAATTCAGACTTCAACAGAGTGCACCTTCTTCTCTTTTTCTAAATGTTTAGAATATACTCTAAATATATATACTACTCGCCCTCGAACGGTCAAATTTCCTCTGAAATATGGTAATTAAAGCAAGGTGGGTGCACTCCACAGCCACCCCCTCGAGGCACTGCTGCATCCACCTCAGCTCAGTCCGATCATTTTCATTGCATAAACGTCAAATTACATAAACACCAGCTTTAGACTTGCAGCACAGCCGGGCCTTTGGGTTGTGGGTGGCGCTCATTTTTTGATCACTGACGCCTCTTACATTCTGACACATCACCATTCAGGCAAGAATAGCTGAGTCTTTCAGGCTGCGGGGTCTTCTCATTTCAATAACCCAACTCCTACACCAGGCACCCAAGTGCACCGCTTCCGGCTCATCAGTTCATCTGAGACTGAAGCACAACTACGCTCTCATGCATGTGTGTGCACATGCATCTTTTTGCCTTGATACTTGACCTTTGCATTGCTCAGTGACAGCTCTCATTAGATTTGGCTTTGCAGTTGACTACTTGACGCCCACTGATGCTGGAGTGTTGTTAAGGAAGACTTCCTGTCAGAGTGGACGACGTCAATGCAAATACGATTAACCTGAAGAAGTGGTTATAAAGTGTTCAGGATTTGATTATTCAGTAAACTGGCAGCCACGTATCCTGGCATCTGATCACAACGTCACAAATGTCTTTCTGTTTTACATACACTGATTTTAGTTACCTAACTGTCTAAAAGTAAGTGACAGTGTGAGTGGACAAGCGGCAAGCAAATCGTGGCTCAAGAGTTGGGAGTTCGCCTTGTAATTGGAAGGTTGCTGGTTCGAGCCCCGGCTTGGACAGTCTCGGTCGTTGTGTCCTTGGGCAAGACACTTCACCCGTTGCCTACTGGTGGTGGTCAGAGGGGCCGATGGCACCAGTGTCCGGCAGCCTCGCCTCTGTCAGTGCGCCCTAGGGTGGCTGTGGCTACAATGTAGCTTGCCATCACCAGTGTGTGAATGTGTGTGTGAATGGGTGGATGACTGGATATGTAAAGCGCTTTGGGGTCCTTAGGGACTAGTAAAGCGCTATATAAATACAGGCCATTTACCATTTACCAAATGAGCTGCAGGGCCAGACTTAGGCCTGCAGATCATTTATTGGGCTTTATTGGCCCAATAAAAAGGTGGTTTGTTTGAACATGTTAACACATGGGAAGATACATCAAATGCATAAATAAAGTGGATGTCATCCATGGGCTTCAAGAAAATAACTTGCCATGACACGTAGACAGACAAAGCAACAGATGTTCCTCACATCACATTGACATCATTCGTCTCAGCTACTCATTAACTAAAATCATGATTAGGAGAACAGGCAAAGGTAAAATGAAAAGATTGGATTTCATGTCTTACAGGTGAGGCCCTCATTTCATGTATAGGTTCATACAGAGTTTTCTAGGGCATAGTTCTGTGTGACCTGGGAGTAATTTCACTAAATAGTCTCAATTTACCCTTAAATCCGATTTAATCCTGCTTATTTGTACAACTTTTACAACACAAACTTTTACAAAAGCTATAATAGCCACCTTCAAATGTGACCAAGACAATATTATTTAAGATTAAATCATTTAAACACGTGTGTTCAAAAAAACATCGTGTTTTGGATTTCGGGGAAACGGTGACAGGGTTCAAAACAAGTGATGTCAGCCGCCACCAGAAGCAAACCTGTGTGTCGCACTGAGTGTGGGTGTGACTACGCAGTGACAGCTGGGTGAGATCATTACTGTTTGGGAAAGGGGGGAATAAAGAAAGGGGAGAGCTCAAAAACTGGGGGAGGGGTTGAGTATAATGGGTCTTGGGGGCAAATGGGTGGGAGGCTTTTATGGTGACATTCTTTCTCTGAGGAATGTGTGCAGTTGTATGCTGCAGATATATAAAAAGCAGGAGTTCAGTGAAGAAGAAAAGAATTTTAAACACGTCCTGTCTGTGTTTTGCATTTATGCTTGTGACAAGCAAGCTTGAAGACAGCAGAGGTTATAAATAGTGGTGATATGTAGACTATATGAGGGGAGGG